CTAAATTTTATATTATGAGTTATTAGTATTTAAAGTTAAGGTAATTGAAGTAGTAAACAAACATTTTGCGGGATACCCCCATACTACTCTATTTTACTCACTTAAACTTTAAATACTTATTTTATAAGCTATTTATCTCAAATTTCAATTTTTATACACCAAAATAATCCAAAAAATATTGTGCTTCAGAATATGAAATTAAAAATGTATATTGTCATTCAAAAAAGTAAAAAACCTTAAAAAAATAAAAATTATATATTTCTTTTTATTTGGAAATAATGTTTGAAAAATATTTTCAAAAATGTTTATAGATTTCAAAGCTATGATTGTTGATTAATTAAAAAATTAGCTTGTAGTTTTAAGATACATTATTCAAATTGTTTTTTGAAAAAAAAATATAACAATATTAAGCTTAATAATTATGATTAACTGGTAAATATTTTAACTTTTTTCAGAAAAACTTTATTTTTAAATCGTAAATGTAATCATTAAAACTATGTCAGTGCATTATTTATTTTCTATTTGTCATGCGCAACATAGATATTATACGTTCACTAAAACTTATAATGTGTTGTCTTTAATATTATAATAAATCAACTTATTAATAAACTTAAAATTAGAAAATTATCTATGTAGTATGTTCACATAAGAATGTTATTGTTGTTTAGCTTTTATTATATGATATTTCAATATTTATACAAGTTATGAGTGTGTAAAATATTACAGTTTAAAAATACTCACATATCCCAGAAAAATTGAAATACTGTTAAATCAAAAGACAAATTACAAACTTAGATAATATTCTTGATTTAAAGTTTGGAAAAATAGATTAATTCACTTCAATATTATAACCTACACTGCAAGATTGATTCTGCTGAATACGAATTTGCTAAGTGGCGTAAAAATCAGAAAAAACAAATAGTGCCTTGACATATTTTTAATCTATTTTATTTAAAGAAAACCTAATTAATTGCTATACATTTTATTAATATTTATTTATAAAAAATTGCTGGTTCTCATTATATTTTGTAATTACTTATGACAAATATACTTTCAATTGCAAATTTATATTTGTATCACAGATTTACTAATTTAGTGGTAAGCGGGTATAGTTTTAATTAAAGAATTTCATAGATACCTGGAATGTTTTAGGATAAGTATTATACAATTTTTATCGATAAACTAGTATTATTGTTGGTCTTATTGATGCTCTATTTTGCAAGTGTTAATTATAAAACTACCAAAAGAACCTTTAGAATATTAAAAAAAAAAATATATCAAAAAATATGTTACATTTACTTATTTTGTTTTTCTCATATGTATTATTTACAATGTTTTTCTTTTAAAATTTAAATGATGCTAATTGTGAGTATTTAAAAATAGGATTTCTGTAGAATTTTAAAGTTAATTTTAATAATTTTACAATTAAATTATGATCCCCTTCGCTTTTCTGGTTTTATTAATCTACTATTTGCTGCTTACACCTTCTATTTTTTAAAGTTATTCTTTAGGTTATCAAATATTAATACTTTTAATAAGCCTACTGATTTTATTTTACTTCTTGTAACATACTCAAAATAAACTACTTAATCGTACTTTTCACTTTTAGGAATAAATAAAATTTATAATGTGTTAAAATTAAAAAGGTGGTTAAATACTGAGAAACAGAAAGGAATTATGAGACTATCATCATCTACTAGTGTGTCCCAGATAACCTTAGTGTATACTACTCAATAGACTTATATTACTCAAAAATTTTAGTATATGATTAACAAATAAACTATACATTTTAATCAACAATTTATAACAATCTGTCAAAAGGTTTATTAATCTAACAAAAAGTTTTTATTATTTTAAATTTACATTGTTGTCTTTGTTATCTTTTATCTGAAAGTGCTTTAGTGTCCAATTCAAAAATTGTTTAATAATTAACCAAAACAGATTACACTTAAGTAGTCAACAGTTGTTGCACAAGGCTTTTGGTTGTATTTGGCCAGCAAGCTCATTTTTAATTACCCATACCTTTTATAAAATCTGCAATGTTATCATAAAAAATAACAATTTTTCTAGAATACTTAGAATAAAATATATTTTGTGATATATACATTTTACCCACAATAAATAGGAAAAATTGCATATAATTTATATTTATTTTTTACATATTTTTTTTTCTTATTAAACTAGACAATAATAATTTGATAACATTTTAACAATTCTTGTAAATTATACATTATTTTCATATATATTTCTTTAAATTGAATTAGTAATATTTTACTTTTTAGGTTTTGAAATTGAATATATAATTACTTATATACCTAAAAAATGTAAAATTATTTTTATGAATTAGGTATATAAAACAAAATTTAAGTATTGATACACATTTTACATTATTAATATTTTTCTATTTTATTACTAATTAATAATTTTTTTTTATTTTTTAGTCCTATGACGATTTGGTCCCTGCAGCTAGAAGTTTAGAACTTAGCGAATCATCTAGCGATTCTGGATCAAGTAGTTCATCAGACAGTGACAGTGATGATTCAACAACACCTCCTCCTCCTCCTACTGTTTCTCAAAAAACCGTAGAAAAACACCCTTCACCCATATTTAATTCTCCAAACACTAATGGTACTTAAAATTTATTTCAAGTTTATTTATAATTTCATTATTACATATTATTATATTTACTTTAGGCTTTAAAGGTCGTCTAGTAGATCCAGGACGTATTTTAGATGAAGATCTTCAACTTTCCGAAACGGATTCAGACTGACTGCCATTTTGCGGCGATTTAATTAAATACCAAATACCCCAAAACGAAGCCGTTCAGTCGTGCATCAATAATAAAAAAAATTCTTATGATTATTATGTATTTTTAAACCTACTTAAATCTCTTTTGATTAAAAATAAAAATAATTACAAAAATGTACTTTATTTTGAGTAAGGCAAACAAATCAACAAGAATAACTTGTATATAATTATAAAAAGTTTCATTCGGCTAACAGAACAAGTTTACTAATGAGTTTGCATACATTAAAGGTTTCACAGGTGGATGAGATACAGCAGTGTATGTTGTAAACTTTGGCTTAAGGCATTGTCCTTCGAGTGTGATGAATGCTCCTTTGTTACCCATCGTGTCACAATAATTAGGAGCAGAAAACACAGTAATACATTTGGAATCATGTGCTTCTTCATAGCCTTTAGCTTTGACTTCATGGCTACGGATAATATAATCTAAGTTGTTCAGTTCAACAAATGTTTTGGTAACATCTGGTCCAAATTGTACTCCAACACCACGTTTACTTGGTGAACGTCCAGGAGCATCTTGAGGATCTGACCATAACATATCACACATCAGTCCTTCTTCTGGTGGTTGCCTATTTCGATAAATATTTTCAATATCCTTTAATGTAACATTATCTTTGGAAAACAAACCACCGTGCATAACTAAAACACGCCTATTGATGCAGTGGGCAAGCGGAAGCCAGTTGTAAACTTCTGTGAAAAGGTTAGCCATTTCAACTGAATACTTGGATTTAACCTCACCTTCAAATCCATACATTCTATTCATAGTAACACTTTCATGGTTACCACGAGACATAAAGAATTTATCAGGAAAAAGAAGTTTAAATCCAAACAAGGTGAAAATACATTCAACTGAAAACGATCCTCGGTCAACAAAATCACCATTAAACAAATATGGATTTGTATCTGATGGTAAACCATTCAATTCAAATATGTTCAACAAATCGTAGAACTGACCATGAATATCGCCACATACAGTAAATTTCTCATCAGACTTAATATTTATATAAACTAGAGTTGGTTGTTTTTCTAAATATTTTTTGACATCCAACAGTATTTTGTAAGCATATTTTTTATGCAACTTACCCTGTTCTCGGTAAGTTTTAATGAGTTCTTTCATGAACTCGAGTGTGACTTTCCCATCATTTAAACATGGTCCGCTATAATCATTTTCGATTGTCATTGATTCAATGTCTATTTGTTCGGAAACGCTTTTAGTGTCTTCTACAGATATGGCTTTTTCAAAAGCCAACCGTTTGACCAGTTTATTACATTCAGTGTACTTGCGATTAGCATCCTTGTCATTGGGCAACGCCTTCACAACCACTTCGTAATCTTTCAGCGCTTCCTTGAATTTGCCGAGCGACATATATGCTGTTGCACGACGATAATATCCCTTCAAGTATTTAGGATCGAGCTGTATAGCTTTGGTCGCATCGGCCAAGGCGTAACCGTATGCTTCGGTTTTGGAATGAGCGAAGCTGCGGTTTGCATAGTACGCGGCAAAATTGTGAGGTTTTGTCGACGAACTTTCACACATTGCAATTGCTTTGGAATAGTAATCGATAGCATCTGCATAACGCTTAGCGGAGAAATGAACATTAGCTTCTTCTTTCATCCGCTCGGCATGGGTGATGTCTGCTTCACGATAATCCAACTTGCACTCGCCGTTCATTTCGATAAATTATATAAAATAACAACAAAACTAAAAGGAACAAATAAATAATTCAGTTACACAAATTTCAATTTGGGTTCAAAAAAAAAAAAAAAAAATACAAATGTTCACTAGTCACTACTCGAATACTTACTGGGGAAAATTGGTAATTTTAAGCGAGAATAAAATTGTATTTTGTTTATTTATTAATAAAAAAATTACAGTGTGTTCGTGATAAACACGTGATATATACTTATCAAAATATTAACTAAATAATGAATAATTTATTAACAAGTTCATTATTTTTATCTCACGAAGAAAATAATTAATAATCTACTTTACTTTAACGAAATAACTTGATGGCCCGTACAAGTATTTACTTTTTTTCAGCAAGTAACTTTGGAATACAATTTTAAATAATTTCTGAATATATTAATTCAAAATTAGGTTGGCAACAATTCTAACTTCTCGATAAACGATAAACACGTGATAAATAAATAATTGTAAAATATATAAATATAATATTTAGATAATAGATTGTAGGTAAATACTAATCAGTAATCAGTATTCAGAATAATCAGATAATCAATATTCTGCATTCTTTATTTCAACGTTTTCTTGATCATTGGTCCAGTTCTTAGGCTCTTAAATCTTTAGTGTAAAGTATTTCATATAATTAGTAGTTTCTTTATTATGTATTGTTAATACTTATTAGTTATGCCTTTTTCAATAAATTATACTAATAATTATAGTTGATTACGATATTTTTTTCATTTATTTAGAAATATAAATTATCAGTCATGAGTGAAACATTGAAAATGTTAAAAGAACAATCTAAAATAAGAAAAAAATTATTGGCCAAAACGGTAAAATTTACAAAGAATTTATCTAAAAATAAATAAAGGTTATGTATTTTTTTAAATTGTTATTCATAGCTGGGGTTTTCTGACGTTCAACAATTACGACGAGCTTTAAATACTCATAGAGAGAGTATGCCAGTGAGTTCCGTTCGTAAAGTAATAAATAAATTTAATGCCCAACCTAAGAGTCCAGAACATGCATACAATGATTCGTCAACATTTCTCAAAGGTACACAATCATCAAATCCACACAATGATTATTGTCAACATTTTGTTGATACTGGTCAACGCCCACAAAATTTTATTAGAGATGTGGGCCTTACTGACAGATTTGAAGAATATCCTAAGCTGAGGGAATTGATTCGTCTAAAGGTACTAATAAAAAGAATTAAAAATGAAAGTTTCATAAACTAAATAGTTCATAGAGTATAAACTTATTATTTTTATGTCAGAAATTTATACTTATAGGCTTACAAATACTATGTACTCATGACAAAAAAAAAAAAAAATATATACTTAAAACATTTCCTTAATATATTTACTTTGTATACTTTGATTTTTTTAACAGGATGAACTTATACAACAAACTGCTACTCCTCCAATGTTTCTAAAATGCGACCTAAGCACATATAATTTAAAATCATTAAACATAAAATTTGATGTTATACTTATCGAGCCCCCACTTGAAGAATATCAACGAACTTTGGGAGTAACCAATACAAAATTATGGAATTGGAAACAGGTTAGCCTTTTTAATAATTATTTTACATGAAATTATAACCATTTAAAACTAAAATTCTTAACATGTAATATACTCTTTGATAATGTTGAGTCAACTAAGTAGTAGTTGTGGAGCTTCTGTTTAAAGATCAAATATACTTTTAATTCAAACTTTTCAATTTAATTTTTGCTTATTTATTACTTCTTAGAAAATTTACATAGGTATCGTAAAGATCAATAATCATAACCTTGAAAGAAATTTTCCTTGATACCTTTTAATGAACTCTAAGTATTTTATCATTTGTTTAGCCTGTGCTATACTTTCCCCTAAAACTATATATCTTAAAATGAAATTAAAATATTTTAGTACATTTGAAATTTTTTTCTTGCAAATATTTTAATTTGTACTATTTGATGAGCTTCATCATTATGTATATCTTATTTACTGTGTTTTATTATACCTTAAACATAATAAATATTCATGTTTTTATAATTTGAATAGATAATGGACCTAGAATTAGGCGAAATAGCTGCTAACCGTAGTTTTATTTTTCTCTGGTGTGGTTCATCTGATGGTTTGGATAAAGGCCGTGATTGTTTACGTCGGTGGGGTTTTAGACGCTGTGAAGATATTTGTTGGATTCGAACAAATTCCAAAAACCCTGGACATTCAAAACACCTAGAATCAAATGCTGTTTTTCAACGCACTAAGGTTAACTGTTATTATACCAACTTAGTAATTTTATTTTAATTAGTTTCATGAACTATAGGAACATTGTTTGATGGGTATCAAAGGGACAGTTCGTAGATCTACAGATGGTGATTATATTCATGCTAATGTTGATATTGATTTGATTATTAGTGAAGAGAATGAACACGGTTCAATAGAAAAACCTGTTGAAATATTTCATATTATTGAACATTTTTGCCTGGGAAAAAGAAGGTATTTTATCCAATAAATAAATTAAAATCTCTAATTCCAAAATTATTACGTTATATTTATTATATAATATTGATTTTAATTTTTTTGTTACTATTATTTCCTTGTTATACTATTGATTTTTTTTCTTAGATTACATTTATTTGGCCGAGACAGTACTATACGCCCAGGATGGCTTACTTTAGGACCTGAATTGACTAATTCTAATTTCAACACAGAAATGTATAATGGATATTTTAGTAATGGTCAATTAACCACTGGTTGTACTGACCGTATTGAGGTACTTAGACCTAAGTCTCCTCCGCCTAAATGTAAAATACCTATAGGAATAAGAAAAAGTAACCTTTGTATGAATAGAGTTAGAGGAAGAATTTAATAATTATTTTTTATTATAAAAGACTGGTATTTAGAAAAATTTGTTATAATTTTAACTTGAACTATATACAATAAAAATATGTAAATTGTAAATAAAATGTTTTTATGTTACATTAATATATAAATTTAGTATTTTCTTTTTCTTAATCTTTATAGGTATTTCATTTTACTCAAATATCAATTTCCAAATGCCACTTGAACTTATTAGTACTATATAATTGCTCTATTATTAACCTATTTTATTTATATCTATATTGTACTATTAATTTAATTTAAATTTTTAGTCGTAAGTTTTAAATTTCAATACTTAATTAAGATATTTTAAATGTATTTATTATGTAGAATAATATGCTCATAAGCATATAAATATGTCATAATTTTTGTATGATTGTATCGTATTTTATATATTTAAATATTATGTTCTTTACTTGAATTTTTACTCTTCCTTGATATTTGTATAAATAAATAATAAATGATGAGTATTGAATGAATAGTTTTTAATTCATGATTTATATGGTAAGATCTCATTAATCCAAACAAGATAAGGAAAAGAAATCATTCGGATTAATTATGGCTTAAAAAACATCAATTTTCTTGCAACTTAAATTTTGAAATTAATCTTTACTGCAATATTAATTCATAAAATTTGTTGGAAAATACAATGAATACAATCAAAATCATTATAATTATGTATGTATATGTATTATATATGTTCATGTATTGCATATTATTATGAATTGTGATACATGTATGTAATAGTATAGCGATGCAGCAATTTCCTAGCCCGTTTGAATTAATAAAACCCTACTGTAAAAGGTAAATATAACTCCCAATGAAAGTTTTTAAATCAATTTAAATATGTAATTTTAACAAATTAGAACTTAAAATAAATATAAATAATTGTGCTCATTTATACTTTTAAATTTGTTAGTTCCGTTATGAACTATTTTTGAGAAATATTGCATTAAACTTTTAAAAATTTTAACCTAACAAATAATTTGTCAGAGTTCTAGAGAAAAAAAATTGTTGAAAGGTAAGCAACTGAGAACTCTGTTGTACATTAGGTGTTATTGAATGGATAACTTTTAAAGTCTTAGGGATGTGTTAAATTTGAATTTAAAGATTAAGTAATATACGAAAAACGGTTATAAAAGGGGACAATATGTCAGTCTAAATTACATTAACGTAACAGTAAAAATGTATATAATTTTAAAATAAATCTAAAATATCATTGCATATAGCAAAATTCATAATAATTTAATATACTTAAAAGTTTCCATGAATGTTTTGAAATTATAATAAAAAAACTAATATAATGTATATAAAATATAATTGTCATTAAATATATTTTTTTTAATTTTGTAGATTCAGTTTGAAATACTTAAGAGGAATTTTGTATTAAATATTTAAAACTTAGATAAAAAGGAAAACGTTTTATGAATTTCATATTACGTAATAGTTTACTGTTCTAATGAATTACATTAAAATTTTAATTTCAAATATTTATATAAAATAAATAAATATTTTTTTAGTATTTTTCCCTAACAAATAATTAGGAATCAGTATTTAACAAAAAAAAAATTTGAAAATTATACACAATGTATAAAAAAATAATATAAACATTTTATAAAAATTTCAAGTATATTCTATTAATTGTTGTTGAATTAAATAAAAAATAAAAATCTCGTTCATAAAAACTTAAATTTTAAATTATCATAACAAAATATAAATATTGAAACTAATTTTGATAATTTATACTGAGAAATTAACTACCTATTATGAACCTTATATTTCAAGCATTTTTACTCAATTATAAATCTGTATTGATATTTGATATTTATAAAAAAAAAAAAAAATCATAAATATAATTCATTGTTATAATATATTACAGGGGTGGCCAAACTGGACCTTGGATCTCATAAGATACATAACATTTTTACAAAAAAAAAAAAATTTGCAATATGAATTTATGTATTTGAATAAGTATACTTTATTAAATTGAAATTTATAGAAAAAATTTACAAAAAACTAATAGTGTTCTTAATATAATATTTATATGTATTTTTTTTTAATAAATAATAATCATATTGTTTTGCACTCCACACATTTGATTACATTTAATATCTTATCTTATTTACGATAATCATACATATTATATGATTTTTTTTTCATTTCGGCTCTTCTATATTTATTAATATTTTGGGTGGTTTATGAGTTTCTTCTTCTGGCCACCCGTCTAATGTAAACAATAAATGAAAAATTTAACTTTCTGCGATTATTCGATCGTGAATTATAATACAAACTAAAAAAAATCAATTAAGTCAAAAACTGGTTTAAGATAAAAATCTTTCCTTAATTTGTAGTTTGTTTTTCTCAATTAAAATGAAAAATATTAAAATATTAATATAGTAATCTTTAAAGTGCAATTTAGATCAAATTTATGACATCAAAATTGAGCATCCATTCAGTTCAAAGAAAACCACATTTCATAAAATCTTTAACTACTTTACTAAGTAGAATTAAACAATTCCCATTTGATACACTGGACATATTATAAAATGGATAATTTTATCAAGTAGGTGCGACTTAAATAAAAATAAAAGAAAAAAAACACATTATAAATAAATTCATTACTCCACTTAGAATCTAAAATATTAGGGTCAAAACTATATATATATAGTTAAATAATAATAATAACAAAAATTAGTAGTTAAACAATACATTTAAATATTTAATACACAATCACTTCAATGAATACATAATATAATTTTATTTAATATTGAATCAGATAAACACCAATATATTTATCTATATTTAACATGTACCATATAATTAACATAAATTACACATTGAAATATTTTTGAATAGATAAATAATGGGATATTTCTGAAATTATGACATTAATATAAATATGATCAAAATAAAAAAATAAAAAAACATAAAAAGAATAAATAATCAATTTTTTCAACTTTCCACAACAATTAATTTCTTACATCTAATGCTTACAAAATATTATTGTTGAAATGATATAATTATATTGATTTACTTATAATTAAAGGAGTGATTATGAAAATGTGAATATAATTTGAAAATTAAAGGGCCGACAATAATTTATAATTTTAGAGCAACTCTATAATGCATGAATTTATTAATGATTATTAATATAATTTAAAGATAATAATTAAAATTGTACTATAACCAATTTTAATGTGAGAAAAAAATTGATTGGTATTTGAAAACACTTATCAAGATATGGAAAGATAAATAAAAATAAACAGGATATATAATGTTATTAATATTGATTTAAATATATTGTTAATAAAAACCATAATTAAATGATTATAATCTAAGAAAAAATCTAATGTAGTGTTAATGAAAACAAATATGTAAGTTTTGTTTGTCTATTTGTAAAGACAATAAATAAAAAGTTAATTATACTCAATAGAGAAACGTAAAATTGTGAAAATAATTATCACTAACCACACACAAAAACACTGAACAACTATTAACAAATTTTACTTCTGAAAGCTAGTTAAAAAATTGTTGATAATAGCATGTTACTCTGGTAGCAGATTAATAAATATACATATATGCCAAACTGCATAATATCCGTCTACTTTTAGCGTTAGAAATTAAACAAAACGCTTTTAAAGTTAATTTTTCTTTGTATAAATAATTTATATAATGGGTTAAAGTGGTCATAATATAATTGTCCAGGATGAAGATGAAATACATCAACATAAAGATATTTATGTATTATAATAAAATAAACATTTTATCATATTATTTCACATAAATAAATTATTATTATTTTTGGCGGCCCTTATTTTTATAATTGTCCGATATTTAATAGGTATATACCTGCTTGTAAATATAATTAAAAATTATATAAGTATTATGAAATTATAGTAGTATCTGGGTTAATAAATTACAAAAATATGATTAAAAACAACCACCGCGACAATAATACTTTTAGACAGCAGTCAAAGGATAACGATTCATATTATTTTTTTCATTTGTTTTAAAAATATAATAACGTTAATATCTAATTATTATCACCACGGCTGCACAAACAATTACCAGACAATGATATGTTTGATGCAACACTTTAAATATCAGTCTTTCGATGTTAACATTTCGGATAATGTAATATAATCCGTGGGCGCCTTCAGATAACAAAATGTTTCACAAATAAATTACAAAAATAAAGAATAAAACTACATAAAAACAATACGTAAAAATTAATAATAATGACTAACATTTGGCGCCGGTCTTCACATTTCTCAACATTTTTTGTTGGCTAATATTTACAAAGTAAAAAAAAAACTTGAGTTGATACTTGTTATAAGTTATTAGTTTATACTTACAAGGCGTCCGCATATTTGAAACATTCCTAAGAATATACATAATAATGAGTGTTATAAAAAATATACATAATTATTATACAACATAGTTGAATTACTTACACATTATTTAATCAGTTTTCAGCCTCCAATTTGGACGGCTTTTGGATCATTTTTGAATTATCTCCAGGTTGAGAACTTGACATGCCATTTTCTAAAAATAATTTATAATTACATACATATACTTGGTTCTTAAGTTTTATCATTTTTATTTCCCATTTTATATAAATATAAATTGTCATTCTTTGTATATTTCTCCATTATTTCTTAATTAAGAAACTACAAACTAATTATTTTGGGTGACTATTATAGATATAATTGAACTCAATGATTTATAATACACAAATAATGATTTTGAGAGAAAATTGTCTGTCAAAATAATTTATAAGTATATTTCATGATAAGTTCTTTTTTATAAAAAGCTATTAAAGTCAATTATTTTACTATTTTTAATGTAAGTATAATTGTAAGTTGATTTAATTTTTGTAAAAAAAATTGAATTTATAAACATTATAATAATACATAATACCATATTATTTTTGCTATTAACTTTTTTCAATACTATTTCACCATAAAACAGTGTTCATAGTGTAGAAGTAGTAAATACAATTAACAGAAAAATTTTGAAAATCTTACAGCATATAGTAAAACTCATAATTAACAT